CAGGATTCTTGCTCAGAAAAAGGATCAACATGCTCTGAAGTCAGAGCACAAAAACCTTTTTGTAACAAAATATCGATTTCTGCTGTCCCTGTATCCATACATGATTAGCAAACAAAATATCACCATGCTACACAGTATCCATTTTTCCCCCACCTCTAGTATTCATCATGATATATTTGTCCTTAAACGCTCGTCCTCCTCTGTAACCTGTAACTGAACCATCCAAATCTCTTACTGGAGTTCCCATAATATCCATCAAATAAGCCTCTTTTCCAGCAGCACCGGCTGGGCACCATTTGACTTCTCAACTCTACTCTTGGTTTCAATTGTTAAGCACCACCTGAGTGTGGGCGGGGTTGTTATAGCAAAGCAGCCTTGATGCCGTGATGTCATCTGTGTGTAAAACAGTCGCTCTGTCTGGATGCTGTCGTCAGCCGCCGGGCACAAAAACGTCTGCGCCTCATCGTCGGAGCGTCTTTGTGGTTGCATGTAGCTGGCCAATCCACTGATTGGTCGCTTCCTGGCCAATCAGTGGCATTTAGTCACACTTTCATCTCTACACGGCTCGATGGTGTCTGGTAGCGCGTACTAGCACAGAGACAGAGTTGAGTCGGTGCTCGTGGAAAAGAGATGGTGCTGTCACTGGTCCCATTATAATCCCACTGACCGTCTCTCTTCGTCTCCATCCAGGCTCCCTCACAGCAGCAGATGAGAATGTGGCCAGGCAGCGATGGCGGAGGTGGGGGTCAGGATCCAGGATACACCCAGTTGCTGCTCCATAAGCCAGCTGCCTCCCAACAACACCAGCGCCACTTCTTGGACCCGCCCCACCACCCACACCCAACTTACTCCCACCATGGGAATGGTGGCCGTGGCCTGAGGCAGGGTGGACAGACAGGCATCGGCGGAGGGGGGGGCCCACAGGGATCCTCGCCCCAGATGAGTGACAGCATGGATGTGAGTGTATCCCTGGGGCTGCACCACCTGGGGGCGGTGTCTTCCATGGAGGCCTCTCAGTTTGGCTCTGCATCTCTGCCCCTCGCTCTGCCAATCGGACTGTCTGCCTTCCGGACTCGGACGGCTCCCACCGCCCCAGGGCCACAAGCCCAGCCCCCTGAAGACTACTACCCCGCCTCCAACAACAATAACCCCACTGGGGGAGGCAGAGGGAGGCCGGACTCAGACGAGGGGCCAGCCAACTCTTGATAAAACCTGAACCATGCCCTAAAGCCATACAATTTTAACTACAACTACTACAACTACACACATACAGCCAGAGTTCAGAGACAAAGAGGTGAACTTTGTGCTGAAGGAGACTTTGTACTGCATGAGAGGAGGAGGAAGAAGGAGGAGGATGCTGGGAAAACTCCTTTTTCCTGTTTTAGTTTGTCTTTGTCGCGCCTGTAACTGGAAAGGAATGATTGTGACCAGTTTGTTTTTATTAATTTTAGTGTTGATTAATATCATTTGATTTTTCTCGGGTTTGAGGAGTTGTGTGTTCTGTGTGGTTGTTGTTTGAGTCTGGAGAGGAGGAGGAGGAGGATGAAGGGGAAAGAGAGAGAAGTTTCCCATTTTATTCCATGAGGTAGCTGCGAGCTGAAGGAGGGCTCGTGCTCGCAGC